TATATATATATATATATATATATTCTTGGAATACCATCTTGTTTAGTCCCACCAATTAAATTTAATTTTGATTTCCATCATTTTGCTTGTAGAACAATATTGATCTCTCTCATTGATGATTACAATAAAGAGATGTTTCATTTAAGAGAAGAAACATGACATTTATATGATTACATCAAGCTAAAATAGAAAAGAGAGTAATGATGGCAACAATTGCTTATTGGGAGAAGATTGGAAGGAGTCTTAGGCTTAATGGAGAACCTTTTTAATGAAACCACCAAACTTGGCGGTCTAATTGAATGGTGATGTTAAAAGATGTTGGAAAATATTCGAATGGCAGCTGGAAGAGTCCGCTGCTTGACAAATGTATGAGAGTTTATGGGCGAGTAGGTATATTTCTCAAAACATTTATATCTTCAATGATCAACGATCCGTTGATGACACATTTATAGTTGAACATGATGTTTTTGTTTCATAATTGAACATAGACTTTTATAGCATCCATAATTAGTGGGAAACTCCAGTTCAATTACATTGGAAATGTAACAATTAATTTAAAATAGTAGTAAAAAAATTTCTAGTTCAAAAATTTTTTTACTAAAAAATTGCTTTAAAAAGCATTAAGAAAGCTGTCCCAAACGAAACTTATTTAACTGGTGGAAACTAAATTATCGTGCTTAGACCTTTGGAAGTTTGGACTAAAGACCGAGAGAGATATAAGGTATAAGATTTGAAGAATCGTGGAGCTCCACCTCGACACAACCGTTGAAGAACCCAGTTGCCCGACCACCGCTGCTAAACCTCCGCCCATTCATCGCCATCAGATCTCCATCCGGCCACCACCGCTGAGTCTACCTTTAACTGTCATCACCCGTTGACTACAATCCTTCCAACCATCGTAGCCTGCCGACTATGGTCCCCCCAACCACCCTCGTCCACCGATTATGATTCCTTCGACCACCGTGCATGGCCTACCAACAACGGTTCCTCTAACTACCATCACCCGCCAAATATGTCTCCTCAATCACCGTCGCCTACTGACCATGGTCCCTCCGACCTCCATAACTCGCCGACTACAGTTCTTCAGACCTCCGTTGCCTGCCTACTACGATCACTCCAAAAAGCATCGCCCGCCAACTACAACTACGGTCCCTTCGGCCACCGTTGCCGGACTAGGGACCATCCGACCTCCATTGCTCATCGAATATGGTCCCTCCGACCATCATCACTCGACTATGGTTCTTCTGACCTCCATCTCCTACCGACTACGATCCCTCTGGTCACTGTCGCCTGACTACGGTACTTCCAACCTCTGTCGCACGCCGACTACGATCCCTCCGGCCACCTTCCCCGACTATGGTTCTTCCAACCTCTGTCTCCTACCGACTACGGTCCCTCTAACCACCATCGTCCAACTACGATCCTTCCGACCTCCGTTGCTAACTGACTATATATGGTCCCTTCGACCACAGTCACTCTGTTATGGCCCTTCCGACCTCCACCGTCTGCCATCTATGAACTTTCTGACCTCTATTGCCTGTCGACTACGAACTTTCCAATCTCTGTCGCATACCGACTACGGTCCCTCCGGCCACGCGTCTCCCGACTACGGTCCTCCTGAATTCCTTCCCCGACATACTACAGGCCCTCCTACCTCAGTTGTCGGTAGACTACGGTCCTTCTGACCTCCATTGTTCGCCGATTAAAGTCCCTCTGACCGTCATTGCTCACCGATTACGATCCCTTTGATTGTTCTTGCCCTCCGACTATGATCACTCCAACTAACATCGTTTGTCGACTACGGTCCCTCCAACCATCGTCGCCCATCTATGGCCCATCCGACCTCAATCACTTGACTATGATCCCTCCTACCTCCATCGCTTGGCTACGGTTACGAACATACCAACATTCTCTTGAGCATAGCTCTTATATCATTGGATTCTTCCAACCCCAATTATATAATGTGTTTTATATTTTCTACACTGAGCCAACGTCTTCCCTCGAGAAAGAACATCATTTGTAATCAATAACAAACATTAGTTGATTCTTTCCAATAGGGCAAGATTCCATAGTTTTTCTCCCGTTTGAGGATTTTCCTCTTAAAATTATATTATTTTTTAGGACTCTTGCACCCTCTCTTTCATATGTCTGTGTGCTTAATTTTCGTACAAAACTAATACGCTAAACTCTATATCTCTTTACCGCCATGAATGTCCCAGGACGCAACATTTCTATATAAATTATATGATGATTAAATAAAAAGTTGAGAGAGAAGTTTTCTTGCGCCACAACATAACACATTTTTTATGTCAAAGCTGCCCTTTTGTTATTTATATATAGTATTTTATCATTTATCAATATTTATTTTGCAATCTTTTTTTTTTTTTCAGGGCTTGAGTGGAGCATCCGACACGTATTATTTATGTTTCTGGAAGATTCCAGTGCACAAGTGTGGCCGGCGATCAGCTTGCTGTGCGAGAAGCGTGAATGGCACAAATGGAGTATGTTTTGTTTTGGTTTTTTAAAGACAAACAGTTTTTTCATGCAAGAAAAAAAAAATGTGATAGGCAAATAATGCTCAAAGTGCTTTCTAGCTTTTTTGTTACACCCATATTCTTAGATAAAATATTTTCTTCACTTTCTAATATTCTGAATGATGAATCATTTTTGTGTTTTCCTTGGGATGAATCTTCCTATTATTGGATTGAAGAGAAAAATTTATGGCTCACCAGCTTGCTAGTGGCTTGGTTTGGGAGGGCGACGCACACTAACGAGACGAGTTTGCCATATTTGAGTAATCCTATGTGAATTCCTAAAATTCCCGTTCAAGATGATCCTCTTGTGTTGTTTTGTCGAATTAGGTCGAATCGAATACTTTAGCTATCTTGATTAAGAGCGACTATTATGATTATACGTAGCTTTGACTAAGAGCGACTATGACTATTCTTGGGCAAGAATTCACCGTTAGGGTCTATCATCAGGTCTAAGTTCTTCAATTAGAACTACTAAATACCTATGCAACATCTAAGAAGGCATATACGAGCATGCAAAAATGATTCGTATAATCATAAACTGATGATCCTCTCAAAAAGAAGTATATATGTAACATATGTGATGTATTTAATTGATCAATGCAAAAGGTTTAAAAGTAGGGGTGTCAATTCGGGTCAGCGGGTCTGGTTCGGGTCGAATCCGGAACTGACCTGGCACTGTTCGGGTTAACCCAAACCCGACCCGTTTTTAAAAACGGGTCAGGTTTCCAGACCCGAACCCGACCCGATTCATGTCGTGGTCAACAGGATCTGACACGAATGACCTGAAGTTGACCTAAAATTGATAATTTTCGGGTAAAAAATCGGGTCAATATTCAATTTTCGGGTTAAAAACGGGTCAATCTCGGGTTTAGGGTCAAATATGATCTTTCGGGTTGTTGGGTCAACCCGAACCCAACCCGATTTTTAAAACAGGTTGATTTGTTCAACCCGAACCCGACCCGTTTCAAGTTCGCGTTGACCCTGAACCCAGATTTTTTCGGGTCAGGTTCGGGTCATGTTTCAGGTCGTGTCAAAAATTTACACCCCTATTTAAAAGGCAAATTTTTTATTATTATTATTTATATGATATGAAAATAGAGTACTGAACGTACTAAAATTGGATTTTTGAATGAAACAAATTGCATTTTTGTTTTGTTAGGACTAAAAACTTACTAACCAATGAGTTAAATTTTGATACAATAAAAAGGTTTATTCTATTTTTATAGCAAACCTACACAATAAGAGTTCTTTTATTCATATTGCTTTCTTATTATCTAAATCATTAATAAGGATTTATAATTATAAATCTCAGTATCAATAAAAATATTACCTATAAAAATTTTTTCTCTCTTCGCCATAAATAAAGAGTTAGTTGGGTATCCAGTGAACCACAGCCTTCACACGCGCACAGCTTCGCCACCATTTATTAAAATTTAATGAAGCTCCTACGATCTTTCATTCAGTCCAAGAATCCAACCTACCCAACAGCAAAGCCAACTCTATAAATAATATAAAATCCTTCTCGTCTTCATCCTCCTCCTCTTTCCATACGAAGCCGATCGACATGGAGGTGGAAGTACAGAGAGTTCAATCCATCGCGTCTCTCGGCCTCGACATGATCCCGCCGGAATTCATCCGGTCGGAGGAGGAGCAGCCGGGTCTCACGACTTTCCAAGGCCCGGTGCCGGAGATTCCGGTGGTGGATATCGGCCATGGCGATGAGGAGAAGACGGTGGAGGACGTGGTGGAGGCGGCGAAGGAGTGGGGGATTTTTCAGGTAGTGAATCATGGGATTCCGGCGGAGGCGGTGGCGCAGTTGCAGAGAGCGGGCAGAGAGTTTTTTGGGTTGTCGCAGGAGGAGAAGGATAAGTATGCGATGAAGGAAGGGAAGTTTGAGGGATATGGGACGAAGCTTCAGAAGGAGGTGGCGGGGAAGAAGGCCTGGGTTGATTTCTTGTTTCATAACGTCTGGCCGCCGGCGAGCATTAATTATGGGGCCTGGCCCGACAACCCGCCCGATTACAGGTTGTTTGTTTCAGCCTTTCAGGATCCGCTCTTCCTCAAATTTTTTTTTTTTAGAAATTATCAATTGCAGTTTTCAGTTTGTGAGATTTACATGCAATGACTAAATTTTTATATTAATTTATATAATATTCAATAATTTAAATAAGAGATATCACTAATCTTTTCATGTGTATCATGCTTCTGGACTGGGGCTTTTTTTTCTCTTTAATTAATAATAATATATTGAAAATTATTATTTTATTGTACAACTAAAATGAATATAATTATTTGATACTTTCACGCATGCGACATGACCATCTTATATTATTAAATACAAATAAATTTTTATAAATAAAATTATTATTTTTAGATAAATGTATAAATTATTTAAAATTGGCTTTTTAATAATTTTTATAAGTTTTAACGGGAATAGATTACTTGGAGCCTTGATTAAGCCGCGCCATTGGATTCTAAATTTCTAAATGAGAGTGCACTTCTACCGATAGACAAGAACATTATAGCGATTTTATAGGTATTTCATGTGGGACATTGTTATATTATAACTATTTTTATAATACATTTTTACTAAAAAATGTATGAAGATTATCTTTTAAAACTAAAAAATATGCTGACTTCAGACAGAAACCTATTAAGAATGAGTAACTAAATTGTATTGCTATAAATCAATAAACTTAAAAGAAGAGTAGCAGCTCTATGTTTTTTTTAGTTTGTACATGCGATCCCTTAAATCAAATTTTTATGTTGGCTTCTTTGACCAATATTTCATTTTCGATCTGTTTTGGTTTAATCAGAATTTTAATCATAATTTTTATTTGATTATTATTTCCTTTATTTTATTGAATTTTTATAAGAAATACTATTTCATAATAATATATTACTGATTTTATAATAGTATATCACACACAATCATAGACAGAAAGTTGATGCAGCAGAGAGCAACTTATCGCAGCTAATTCTACCTTCTGATATATGGTGGGATGGAAAGAATTTGTATTCGAAGTGGCTTCTTCAAAGAGGGATATAGGGCTTGGAGAGGAAAGGCTGAAGGTGTGCTTTGGGTGGAGAGGAGATGGAATATTTGCTCAAAATAAATTATTTACCCTCCATTTGCCCTCGACCAGATCTGGCATTAGGGTTGGTGGCCCCACACTGATTTGTTCTGCAATTACCATTTTTGGTGCCCAATGAGGTGCCCGGATTGCAAGTATTTCAAAGATTGACCATTGGTTTGCATGCCAAATATATCCCTTAATGCTCTTATTATTCACATTGGAGATCAAATTGAGGTATGTTATACAATCCCCCTCTTCTTTAATTATTTATTTTATTGTAACAAACTTCAAATTTATTAATTTTATTTTAATATTATTATAATTTTTTATAAAATTCTTACAATCTATCCCAAATATTCTCCCACCATACATAATAATATTCTCGTATGGATTGATTGTCTTAAAATGCAATATAGCTAACAAAATAATATTTATAAATAAATCTTTCTCAATTATAGGAATTATTCTGGGTGGAAGTCTGGACGGGAAGAAACCATCTGGATTGCTGCGTATTTACTAAGTATTTACTTAATGCGTATTGTTAAATTGCCCATAAAATTATTTAACAAATACACAATAAATAAGTTAAAATACTCACAAAAATACTCAACAAATTTGCTCACAAAATACTCAAACAACATTCACATTTTGAAGCTATTCACAGAGTATTTATTGAGTATTTGTGAGTATTTTGCAAATGTGCCAACAAAACTTAAATAAATACGCAACAATCCGGGATGGTTTTCTCTTCCGAACTACGCACGTTAAAATTTCACGTCCAATTCCACCACATTTATATTATTAAAAATTTTGCCTAAAGACTATATATATCTTTTTGTTATCCTTGATGGTATTCTTAGACTTTGGAATGTCTCTAAGCAATATTAAAGGTTTGTTGATTGTGAAGTTATTGTCGGAAAAATAAATTTTGTTAAAATCTTTGATTTCAAATAGCATATTTTACTTTAGGAGATTATTAGAAACAACAGGAATAAAAATAAAGTAAAATTGTAGGTTCAATACGGAAGTTATAAAATCTAGGAAAATTATTCCAAATAAGCTCTTAATATTAGTGTAAAGAAAAATACTTTCTCATCAAATAAAACGTTCTAAAAAAAAAAATTATGACAATAATTTCATAAATTAATTATGTTAAAAAAAAAAACTCAAAAGTGCCCTAAATTATTCCGTGCATACATCGAACCATCCGGAGGTGAATTCAGAGCGCGCCACGGTCACCAGTTCACAGCAAAAGGATGACATTGGTGGTCTCTTATTCAACTTTGAGATAGCAGTCCGGTGTCCGCACAAAATATTTTTTCCTAAATATCTCTAGCTACAAGTCTTAATATATGCCAAAATGATTAACATTCCATATTTTCTTATTTTATTAATATTGAAAATTATTAAATTTATATTATTTATTGTCTTTGACCGATGTAGATCTTAAAGCAATGGGAAATACAAAAGTGTGTTTGCATAGAACAACGGTGAATAAGGAGAACGACAAGAATTGTCATGGCCGGTTTTTTGTATCGCTCCCCGCCGGAGAAAGAATCATTCGGGACCACTGCCGCCAGCTGCTCATGATTGAGAAATCCGACCCAAGTTTAAGTCCAAGAAAATTTAAGCGGGAATATCAGTATTGCAAAATCAACAAGCTGCCACATAATTATGAGAAGTATTCAGCCAAGAAATAATCAAATTTTAAAAAATTAAATTAATTTTGAGTTATTAAAAATGTCACTCCGATCAATGACGATGTTTTCTATAAATGCTAATGAGTTTGGTTGCAATGTTATCTTATCTAACATTTTATTGGATGTAGTTTTATTTATGAGTGTTGATGATTGTTGTATTTTTGCCGTTAATATTCAATATGATATTATTGCCAAAATTTTGTTGAAATTAAAGTAAAGTATTTAACAATTTATTTTTAGGATTTATGGTGTTACATGTTTGTTGAAGTTTTATTATTATTTAGTTAATACATATCAAATTTAATTAGATTATTATATAATAAATTAAGATAGGGGCTTAGTAAGAGAATTACCTAGAAGCTAATCAAATAGCAAATTCTATTTAGTCAATTTAAATTAAAAATAGTAATTTAATTTAGTTAGTATTTTTAATTTACTAATATTATCTTCTAAACAAATTTAATTTTTATCATTTCTAATTATAATTATTAAATTATGATTAGCATAATAATATTTTAAATAATGAAAAGATTTAAAATTATGATTAATATACTTAACTTAATATTTTTTATACATATTAGTATTAATTATTAAAATTAATTCAAAAATGAAAATTGAAAATTATAAATTTACCGCGACACTCCTACACGCCTATAAAAGAAACCCCCGTCTTTCCCCGCTTCCTCTCGTACCAAAGGCCGAAACCCTCGACGAAAAAAGAAGCCCAGAAGTCGCGTCGGGAGCTTGCAGGCGAAGCTAGCGACGGGCTCGCGGCGTTCTGTCCGAAACCCTCGGCTCCCTTCCCATTCGGCTCCTGCTCAAAGCCCTTGACGAAAAGAAGCGAGGAAATCGCAACGGGAGCTTGCAGGCGAAGGCACCGAACGGTATTATTTCTGTTTGTCTAATCCCCCCTGAAATCCACCGAACTACATGATTTAGTTATTCAGAAGGCCCTGAAATGTAAGGGCAAAGGAAACTTAGACTAAGGCAAGTGAAATTGATTCATTCCATATTACCAAACTTTACAGCCAGCAGGGTGCCTTAATATATAGAGCTTTAGAGGGAACTATAAGTTTTTTAAAAGTTAAGGTTGGTTATTCATAGATCTCTGTGATTGAAGTTTGTGATTTGTGAAGAACGGTGAGAGATCTTTGCAGAGAAGGTGGTGCTGCGCTTGAGAAGTGGAGGCAGAGGAGATTTGTGAGAGTGTGAAGCATGTGAGAGTTTATTTTTGCCCCTCAAGTTCATGATTCAATTATTGGATTGTCAATTTGTTGTGATGTTGCTGAAACCGAGAGGTGGATGTTTGCTGCTCTATCTTTGGCACTGATATGGTGGAGTGATATTTTTTCGGAAAGTACACTCCCATACAAAGTGGTAATCAATTTTGATGTGTTTGGTGCGGGCATAAAAGATTGGATTATTAGCTGGAGTCATGGTGGATTTTTTGCGCAATGACGGTTGGGGGGCATTGGAATGCAATATGAATCCCGTAGAATTCATGAAGTCATATGATGTCAGATGCTGCAATGGCAAGGGATCTATACATAGCTTCGATGGAGGATATTGTCATGGTTGGTTGTTTTATGACACTCCATGAAATGAGAATGGAACCAACGAAAATGTTGTTCATTTCGGATCAATGTGTTGCTTGCCCAATTTGAATCAGAATAGGAATGTAGAACAGGGTTATTCTTTTTTATTGGAAATAAGGCCGTCAAAGATTCAATTTTGAGCTGATTTGAGGTCGGCTCGATAGCTTGGAGCTTTGATTGAAATTAAATCATGACTTGATTGGTTGAATTTTTTATTTTGACATGAAATATAACATATTTGATGTCTTAAAAAGAAATATGTATATATATTTTTTATTTTTATTGAACGTTGAATAAGTTGATTTTTTTTCAGTGGCTACAACAACCTAGCAGTCAACAAGGTGATTATAGCGGCGGTGGTGGTATTGGGAGTTGGTTAAAAAGTGATACTTATTTTTAAAAATAGTTAATAGATTAAAGATTATTTTTAGTGTTCTTAAAAATGATTTCAACTTAAAAAAATAAATTAAAAATACACAAACAAATATATTTTTTTGAAACCAAAATAAAAAAATAGAAGCGATTCCAAATATGCCCAAAGTTTTCATTATATTTCTCCAATCTCTCATTTAGAGAGGTTTTATTTTCCTGATGTTCCTTTGTTAAATGATATGCATAATGAAAGGGTTTAGTTGAACAAACTAATTTGGTTGTATTTATAATTTTAATAAGCATAATTATAAAAAGACTGATGTTGATGCCAAATTAACAGTCATTTGTAAAACTCATTTTAAAATTATTTAAATGAATTCAATTTTGAATGTTGCTAGTTCTGGGGAATTCACTAAAATCGATGCACCATGATCTAACATGATTATATGGTAAACAAAAATTTGTCAGGGTGTCTCCCCATAAATTGATTGTGATGAAAAGTAAGCCAAGGTTGATTGTGTAAATTTAATATTAGACTTGTGTAAATCTAAGAATGAAAAGATAATAGAGTTGGCAGGCACAATGTTTATAAGAGGATTATATATTATTTGCCTACATGACGCTAAATAGAAATAAGAAAAATAAAGGCAATTTGGAAATGTTATAAGTTATTATATGTTGGAAATGTTAGCAATAGGAATGAGGTTGTGATAGTGGATAGGGATTAGAAAGGTAAAGTTGCTAAGGTGATTAAGGTTAGTGATAAAGTGGGTGGTTTCAAGATATAAATTATCATGGAGGACATAAAGAATGTGATAAGTACTTGATACTCTTCGAGTTGTATTATGAGATTGCTTTAAAAATTAAAACAAAGGATGAATTGCATAGAAAATAGATTTTGAGTATATGATATGCAATTTCAATGAATATGGTACTGACAATTATTATTCGTTATCATTAGAAGATAATATGACAAATAGGTGTTTCAGGTTTGGAGTTATATGTGAGGCTATAGTTTTCAGATTTAAGGCTTGATGGTTAAAATATAGAAGTTTCTAATAAGTTTTGTGTGATAAGAGAATGTCATGGTGGTTTAAAGGTAAATTTATAAAGCCTTAATTTGGTTGATCATACTATATGGATCTAAGTGTTAGGATACACAATTCATTAATATTTAAATTGAGTAAATTAAGGAGTGGTTATATTGACATATTTGAGATTGTTAAGATGAATGTGTGACAAAGCTAAGAAGGGTAAATTAAGGAGTGATTATATTGAAGAAAAGATTTGAGTTACATCTATTAAAAGATGAGATGACTGAAATAAAACCTAGTTGTCTGAGGATTAGAAAAGATTATTTTCAAAAGAAAACGGACAACAAAGAGTAGAAAATATGCTCATTAGACGAGTTGATAAAATTAGTGTCAAAGCTTTAGAAGAAAATGGATTGACCTAAGGTCATATGGATACAATTTGTTCAATCTGCATAGAAAATGGATTGACCTAAAGTTATAAGATGATTGAAAATAGACTTAGATGTCAGAGGAGTATGAAAAAAATGATTAAAACATTATAGTAAATGCGCTTGTTAGACAAGTCGATAAAATTATTCTCAGCTGATTAGGAAAGAAAATTGATAGAGTTAAGGTTACATAAGAATTTGCGAAGAATATGTTTAACAGCTCAAATAATAATTAACACGAATGAATAGAAAATGAAATCCAAAATGGCAATCCCAAATAATTGGATAATTATAATGATAATTAAGTACTGCACTGGATTAATTGCCAACACAAATATTTCTGAATTTTCCAAAGTAATGTTATCCTAAGATGTTATTGCAACTAAATCTAATTTTACCATTGGTAAACATAGTTATTTTTATTATTTAAAATATTGTTTATCATTGAGTTTGATAAAAATTTTGTCATAAAGCAATCTTTCTAATCAATTAATTTAAAGAGCTAAATAAAGCTTCTATTTATAATTTACAAATATACCTTCCATTATTCATGGAAATGGAAATCTTTTTTAGTTTAACATTAGAAGGTGTGATTTTAACCATAGCTTATTGATGTCAAGTATATAATTATTCAAAATATTATCATTGGTCTTATCCTTCGGAGTTGGTGAAATGTTCAATTTAATAAAACTATAATAGTGTAATTTTGGATTGCATAGCATTATCACTTCTGCTATTCTTGGTTGTTGACGTTGATATGTGCAAGGCACAACACCTGTTTAGAAATTTCCCCAGTGAAAGGCATGCACTAAATTTGCTAGGAGCATGACTCTTCTTCGGGCCGGCATGCTTCCGATGACCTCTAGCATCTTCCATGCACGTTATGACAATCCTCTACGTGGGGAGTGCCGTTTTCTCGCCATCCCAATGCCAACTCTTTGTAAGACTTTTTCCATACCTCACAAGTTTGCATTTTGATGAAGATGGTTATTACAAAATGACTGCTTGTACTGTACTCCGTCATTTTAGTGAATGATTGCGTGTCTCTAAGGGTTGAAGCAAGAGGCATTCCTCGAAAGGAGAGCCCTAAGATCAGGAATCGTAGAATGCGAAGAAAGGTATGAAGATTTCTTTTTTCTTGTTCCACCTCTTTTTGATGCCTTGGGATGGTGATACACTCTACTTGGAAGCTTCAACTTTTTTGTTTAGAAAACTGATTTTTATACAACTTGCATTGCACCACTACGATTGTATGCTTTCGCTAGGAAGTATGATAGTGATCAATAGAAACAAACTTATGCTTATAATGCACGGACATGTACACGACATGAACATGGTTTTTTTTGAAAATATAGGACACGTGTATGGCGCGAACACGACATTACTTTTTTTTAATATAGTGTATAGATATTAATGTAACATCATATTAGAAATGACAAATAATAAAAATAAATGACATAATAACTTGTCTAGTTTATGATATAAAATGTTTAGTACAAAATGTCTAATGCAATCACAAAAATATTAGCAAATAACCATTTACTACAACATCAAGCATTCAAGCTTCTACTAATAAGATTAGCTTCAGAGGTTTGATTTTGACCTTGAAGATCATCATCATTGAATATCATTGCTTCTAAATCTGATTCATCAAGAGAAAGATTTGCAATAGTTCATTGGATATCATTTAGTGAAAGTTGATTCTTCTTTGTATCGATTTACTTCTTTGGTTTTCTCTAGTTCTCTCCCATAATAATTCTTTAACCTCTAATCTAAATCACAAAGAATGTATCTATTTACTTCTCTACTTCTCTAGTTTTCCAGTTCTCTTCCATAATAGTTCATTGGATATCATATATTAATCTTTATTCTATTAATCTTAAATTTTTTATATTCTAAATATTTTTTTATATCATTCTAACATTTCACCTATTTCAATAAATCCCATCAACTAGAATTACAATAAGGCATGCACATCAAGTTCTTCTAGTTATAATCAAAATTCTTCTGATTCCTTGTCACTAAAAATTGCAAATATAGGTATGCATAAATGTTTTCAATAATCATTACTGCCTCTAAAAAAAAGATTCATTCTCTAATAATCATGCTTTTCAACAATCGTATGAATGCATATAAGAGTGAATGTGATGTTTTATTTGACATAGTAAATATAAAAATATTATAATTTTAAATAATTTTATTATAAAAAATTAGGATGCGCAGGTTCGACACACGTGTCCACTTAAATTTAAACATTATTTTTATTGGACACATCTGTCGTGTCCGACACGTGTCGCAGCAGTGTCGGGCACGTGTTCGTATCTGGCACGTGTCTGACACTGCATTCTCTCTTAAAGAGGTGTGTCGGTGCATGATAGCTTATGGCATATTTTTTGTCTTTGTTCCAATTCTTAGAATCCTAACTTTTTGTTAGCCTCACGTAAGAAGGAATATATTAGTTGATTTTGAAACAATGTACAATGTGGCTCGGAGAAAAATCTATCGCAACAAAGAAGAACACTTGTATGCATATAAGTTTATGTGGCTCGGTGCAATCCACTAACATCTACGTTGCACAAAGATCACATAATTCTACAAAAAATTTAAAAGAGGTATATCAAAGATATGCTTTCATACGAGATACATAGTAATGATTTGTGCACTTAACAAAGAGGGCAATATACACTATTGTAATTGATGATAGATAGTGAGGGAGTATAGCCTCCTATTGTAGGATATAAAGACTTGAGCTAGGAAGGAGGAAACCAATGAAGAGAGTTGTTGCAAACTTTTTCATCCCTTTAGATAAAACACATATCAGGAAGGAGGAAACCTGTGAAAATCGTTAATTTTTTTAAAGAATTTTTTTGATCTATCAGGAATATAATTCAAATCACAAATTGTTTTCGCCATAATATATATAATATTTTGTTTTAGTTTTACTAATTTTTTAAAAACTAGATCTTGGGATTTGTCTGTCACAGCTCAACACGGTAGGATCTATCTTTGTCAGGTTGAGTTGTGATAAAACCAATGAAGAGAATTGTTGCAAACTTATTCCTCCCTTCAGATAAAACACAAATGAAACTCCTGTGGCTATGTAGTTGAATGAAAGCCTCCTTAACTCTTGTTCACTCTTCTCTTGGTTGATAAAGAGAACTCAACCGTTGTTACTCTTCTTTGTTTTCTTGCTTATATGAGGCTCTATTTATAATGATAATATTACAGTCTAGAATTAATTACAAGTTCATCATATCCCACAAAAAAAGAATCATAAATCTTCCTAAGCAACAAAAACGATCAGTCAAATATTTGCATCAAATGAGGAATATTAATCAGATCTTATGAAAGGCTAGTGTGGATTGTGGAAGTTACAATTACGATCAATAGAAACAAACTTACTGTACTTTTTCTTTTTATCCAAACTTCTTAGAATCTTATCTGCATCCTTTTAACTGTTAGTCCTTTACCTTCTTTCTCTAAAATGCGAGATGCAATTGATATGGTTGCTTAGATGCAAAATAATGAGCTTCATATATTGTTTTCCATATTATATGCATCTTTTCCCTTTTAGCACCATAGCTGCAAAATCTGTGTTTCTGATATAGGTTTCGTTTGGGATGGCTTTCTTACTACTTCTTAAAGCAGCTTTATAGCACACAATTTTTAATTTTTGTACTAAAAAATTATTTTAAGAAAAAATAAAAAAACCATCCCAAACAAAACCATAATCTTTACAGTTGCAGCTAATCCTTTTCATTCCATTAATTCCGCTGCAATTTGTCTCAGTTCAATGGTTCTCCAACCAAACCAAGGCTCTCCGTTTTCTGCTCAACCAGACAACTATATGCCATGCTTGTTGACGATCGCAACAAGAAGACTCTATTTTATGCCAGCACTTTACAGAATTCTATGCGTGAGGATCCTCCTTGCAGCACCATAGTATGTTTCACTATTCATTTCACCATAGTATGCTATAACTTATGCTGTCTTATGTGATAATTTCTATCTAAGAATAGCATGTTATCAATTGAAATGAGCTCTGTATATTGGTTGCTTATGCTATCAAATATCAATTGAATAGCGCTAGTTATTTTGTAATTTTGGCCCGAATTTTCAAACAATTTGATTCACATGTAGATGTAGTCATCTTGCATGTTCGGTCTATACTTTTTGGTGCCTTTGAACCAAATTGATAGGTGTGTCAAAATTTAACACGACCCGAAACTTAACCTGGACCTGAATTGACATCCCTAATAATTTGGGTTCGACCCAAACCCGACTCGTTGACCCGAATTGACACCCCTGCAAATTGGTATCCGTCCAGCGCAGTTGAAGATTTTCCATCAGCCAACATTATATGCAAAACCTGCTTATATTTTTTTTATTTAAGATTAAGGTTTCATTTGAGATAGCTTTCTTATTACTTTATAAATAAGCTTTTTAGTACATTTTAAAAAAAAATTGTATTAAAAAACTACTTTAAAAAGCATTAAGAAAACTATCCCAAATGAAGCTTAGCTTCACTTTTATCCTTCTTATTGCTGAACTTTTGTTTGATTTTTATGGAGTAGCTCTTATTTCAACTTTAACATTACCTAATTTCTTTAAGATGAGCGAATATATCGATAATCAATCAATCTTTATGTAGCACTCATTTGAAGATGAAGGCCTCGTTTGTTTCTCCTTAAGTACGCCGTTTTCGGTTTAAATAAACAAATACCGTTACAGTGCGTTGTTTGTTAACACACATTTTGGATAATCTCTTTTACTATACCTCCGTAATACCGCCGATCTCAAAAGAAAAAAAAAATGTCGCTTATCCAAACTCTTCTTACTCCGTTTCTTTAAACTCAGCTTATGCAAAAGAAACGCCGCAACAAAACGAGCAGAAGATAAAAATTTAAAATTCATCTTGAATTAATTTAGTAGGATATCCTCAATTTTGTTTTTGACTCTTTGATTGTTTGGTGAATTACTTGTGTGAACTTATTTAATAATCCTAACTATTTGCGTGTATAATGTAAAAACCACAGGAAGCAGCCCAGAGAGTAGGGGAAGCACTCGTTCACGCGTGCACAGAGCTGCAAATTTCGGAGATATCCTCTTATGACCGCAATGGATTCGCTCGGGGAGAAAGGATGCAAGCTTTTGAGGTTCCAATTGCACAGTATGGGTTGCTCACCCGTTGATCAACGTATTCTTATTCCTAAAATTCAAAAAAGGAAAACAAGTGCGAGGTTATGTAAAGTATAACTTTAAATTATATTTTAATACTTTATGATTAATTATATGATGTAAAATTAAATTCAATATTTTCATATCTTTGTATTAAATTGCGAAATTTAATGTCCTTGTGGAAAAAATGCTTTGCAATTTTAATTGTTGGTATTTTAAAACGGGTGTTAAAAGAGATTTTGTTTTGTATCCTTTTATGTATTCTGGATTTATTTATGCTATAAAAGGTAGGGGGTGTTAATTTCTGGTCACGGGTTGGGTTCGGGTCAAATCTGGAATTGATTCGGCACTATTCAGGTCAATCCAAATTTGACCCGTTTTTGTAAACGGATCGATTTTTGGAACCCGAACTCAACCCGCTTCAGATTCGGGTCAAACCGACCCGACACGGACTTACGGGATTTGGTTGAAGAAGTGTGCGAAGATAGTGACCTCCCGTAGCTAGTCGCTACTTCCTATTGTTGATTATTTAAACTCTATTTTTAGCAAATGTATAAATAAGTTTTGGGATTATTTAAACTCTATTTTTAGCTACATGATAGGAAAAATAAATATATTAATGAGACAAACTCAATAATGCTAAGTTTTCCAAGATTCTGAGTACAAATGAGACTAAATCAAATATTTTGGAATATAGTTTGGAATTTTTTTGGAGATTATTGGATAGACAATATTCCTTAAATTATGAACTTACAAACAGAGTTGGGAATTGCATGACATTATTTGATAGACAATATTTCTTAATTCTCAAGTACTTGTGTTAGAATGAGTGTGTTGGTAAAACAAATAAGGTTAGCCCAAAATCATTCAATTTTGATGTCATCTTGGGTTTAATATCGATCATATGATGAAGTGTTTTGATTTTAGAAATATATAAATAGATATTACTTTCACATAGTGGGGTGAGGTTGGGATGAGGTTATGAGAAGGATTCTAGAGAAGATTATATAGAGCTCTCCTTTTGAACATTGGATTCTCGTCATTTTCACTAAGGTTAGTGCTCATTGTCACCAATAAGGAAGATATCCATCGTAAAAAAATAAAGCTAACTCTGTTGAAGACAGTTAGGCCAATGTCCATCACCGTCAACATGATGGATACTCATTGATTCCAATGTCAACATTCATCATGGCTAATAAGACATGTTTGTCACCAAATCAACATTGAATCCATTCATTGTCAAAAAAGGCTAATGCTATTTTTACTAAAGTAGACCGAGACTATCATCAACAAGATTGATACAAACTCGGACACCCTCCATCCCTACCTTTTGCAATCGAAATCTTTACTAAGTTAGATGCTCACCTTTTTAATTGTTAGCATACCTTTCTCTATTAGGAGAACAACAGTATATCATCAAACATCTATTGATAATAACCCTTCATCTTTCTTTTTTATTCCATCATGCAAGCCATATTCTATAATTCATGTATACTACATTGTATAAAGATTTTGTACATGTAAACTACTAGTGAAATAATTTCATTATGATCAATTCCCATTATTTTTTTCATATAGGTTAAAGTGAATGATAGATATTTAAAATAATTCAATTTTGTTTCTTAATATATGTTTATCAGCATGAGCTCAAAAAATATATTATTTTAAAAAAATGTTAAAGAGCCAGTTACCTTATATAGTTATATATATATAAAAAAAAAATCAATTAAGGTTCGGAAGTTTAATTAAATTAAAATTATTTCGCAATTGTTGACAGCACGGGGTGGTGGCGCAGTTGGCTAGCGCGTAGGTCTCATAGCATTCCTGAGTTATCTAGAAGTCGAGAGTTGAGCCTCTCTCACCATTACCAAAAGAGCAGTGAAGAAAGAAATTGCCGTTATAGGGATGGTTGGGATTTCCATCTCTGTCATAGTATAGAGAATTTGGGCTAAACCGAGCTCTTGTTTTTATTTTTTATTTATTATTTTTATTTTATTATTTTAATTTAGTATATTATGACTATATGTCAATTTTATGTTTTATTTAATTTAACAAAATGTATGGCGTAAACATACAATATATCACATACACTTTTTTATTTTTTAAAATATAAAATTTTACTCTTATTTTATATCGTTATCATTTTTATCCTCTTATACCGCAATTATTAAGTGAGCAATTGTAACTATATTCTCATTATCGAATGTATACTTCTTCTCAGAATTAGCAACCCACTATACTTGTGTTGAGACAACATATTGATAAGTAAACCAACAATTATTATATATGTTAGACTAATTTTACTATTCTACAATCAGTGAGTTACATAATATACCATATAAAGTACACTAAAATTATACATATAACTTAATAATGTTTTTAAACCTGTCTTATGAAGAGAAAACCTGAGAAACTCAAATGTGTCAGGGATAAAGGTTAGAATTCAAGTGAGTCAGACAAATGACCGGCGAAAATATGATCTTCATACTATACTTTAAAAAATGAATTCTACTACATAAGCAGTTATAATGTTATCAAAACGATTATAAAAAAACCTCAATCCTACTAGTTCTATTCACGATAAATTAGTATTACCACATTATTAATAATTCAGATATAATTAATGATACTAAACTTACAAATGTTATGGCAACTCTATATTTTTATTGATTAAAAAACTATGCATTTGCACTGTTTTTAATCTTTTTTTTTTTTTTTAAGTTGCGACAACAATTGTAGCTAGGGACATTGACTCATAAGACAAGTTATCATATTAATAAAATAATAATAGAGAAGCATAACAACTAACGATACGATTTCTTGATCCTTGCAATACGGGGACATCAAATGATCATTAATATTGCAAGAGTGAACTAGCACGACTGCCGCCACCCAACCATTTGTTGCAATCTTACGCGGAAGGTGATGCCTATTCCCGCATTCGAATTATCCTCATTTAATGAAAATCTACAATCCACACATCAGAAGAAAGCAAGCGTGAACAGGTTGCAGACTAGTCAATAATACCTCGTATTTGAGCGGTCGCACACAATGATGCGACACTACACCATATATATTTTTTTATTTAAGTTATACCTATATATTATATATTACTTAAGGTTATTCATCTGATAATATCCCCTTTTACTTTTTTACGTTAAGAAAAGTTCGATTAGCGTTATAAATTTAGGTATTTTACTATTTTGAAGTGAAATGAGTTTGTTTCGTTGATAAAATGCTTATGAAAGAAAATAATTGAAGTGCCTCGGCGTATCGTGAACAATTATTAGTCCGATGAGCGACCGAACGTTAGCTCGTACATCCCGAGGCCAATAACATATCGCCACGTGCTTCTTACTCTTTGCGCAAAGCCCGACGACCCGACCCGAACCTGAAACCCGATTATTGTATCGTTAGCATTAATTGCTAGGCAATTATCGTATGCTTAGTATGCTAGGTATTGCTTGACAATAACGAGAATATACCATTCTGTCAAGAACCAATATCTAGCAATACCGAGCAATACTAAGCCAATACCTAGCAAAACTTGGCTATTTTAGTAGTGGTCTTCATTCATAATGATATTTCTCGTTATTGTCGAGCAATATCTCCGTTTGCAGAAATCAGCTCTTACATAACAATCCCGGGTCCTGTCCGGTCGGGTAATCGGCTGCGCGTGTAGGAAACAGTAAGTGTGCAACTGGAATTGTAGTAAGACACCGACCAAATTAAAAATACCCGCCTGTCTCCCACGCTTCTGGTACACATGCGTACAGCCCATCCTTTGCCTCAGCGTAAGGAACTTTTATTTGTTCCGTTGATGAACGATACGTTCCTGCTTCGTTCGGCACCAAGTCATTCAGGCACAATTAGCCAGGGAATAGAAAAGACGCCCGGACCCGACAACCTGCTGTTTTTGGTTTTGCGCACATGCGTTTTTTTGTGAACCATACTCGCCCAAGAGGAGTTTTGGCCGGTAAAGTAACGTGCTTCGCTCTTCACTTCAGCATCAATGAGACCCCTAGCATTGTGTCGTCTGAGCGACCAGTGGTTGCTCATTTCGCGTAGTTCAAAGAAGGTGGCAGTTATCTCTTGCACATTCCGCAAGAAGGTAAGGACGTTCGCTAAGGAGAGTTATGGGGTTAAGAGAGGCGCGCTCCTTCTACG